AAGAGAAGGTAGAACAAAAGAATTCTGTTTATGTGACTTCGATAATGATTTTGAACAGTGTACTTCAATTACACAGTAAAGCTGTAACTTCAATCCTAAAATGTATACTTCATTTCAGGGAAAGAAACGAAAGTGGAGGGAATCAGGGGAAAGATGAAAGAGCTGTGACATATGCTAGTATCCGAGAGTCCAATATGAACATATATATCTGAGATAGAGATAGAGGTGTCATCTTACAAATTTACAACATATTTAGCAGAGTTAGCCCTATTCTGTGTTAGTAAAAGGTAGTGGATTAATAATCTAATAAGTAATCAATAAATAATTAAAGTAAAATAAATTGACTCGAACACCATTATTATCTTAGGGGTAGTTAGATATAAGTGATAGGGTTAATAATCTCGGAATAGAGTGTGAGATTATAGGTGTTAGCTAATCCCAAAATAAGTTTTATACTAAATGATAAAATTAACTATCTCATATAACATATTGAATATCTTAATATTTCCTGCCATGATACCAAACGACCCGTTATGGTATGTGCATATAAAAATTACTTATGAATGAAAAAAATATATTTACAGCTTGTTTAGTCGGTTGTTACATATTGTATCGTATCGTATTGTTACTTTAAATACAATATTTGTTTTGATTCTTACTTAAATTTTATTGTATTGTATCGTTAAATCCGTCGTTACTAAATGGCGAAAAGTGTCACTTTATGTAACGACGGATTTGGTGTGTGGCATCGTTACTTTATTTTTTTCTCTCATTTTGCTCTTTTTTATTATTAAATAATCATATTTTATCTTTTACCTTATTTATTTATATAATAATTCTATTTCGTATCCTATTTTATTTTTAGGAATGTTTCAAGTTTATTCTTCATATTTTTGGTGTGTGACATGATGAAACGATGACAAACGATACAATCTATCTATATATTGTATTCATCAAACAATATAATACAATACGATTAGGGCTGTTCATTTGGATCGGATATCCGAAATCCAAACCGATCCGCTCAATTTCGGATTTCGGATATTTACATCGAATTTCGGATTGTGTTTATTAAAATTTCGGATATTCGGATAGGATTCGGATTGGTATAATTGTAATCCGATCCGATCCGAAATCCGAAATTATTAGGGCATGTCAGTACTTTATTTACATCTTCCTCCAAGTTATTACCTTTACAATTGATGGATTTAGCTATATTGACACCATAGTACTCTCATAATTGCATAAACATAAAAATTTTCTTACTGTATTGCCTCTTTTACAAAGAAAATATACATATGAGTTTGCAACTTTGAAGCATAATAATCTGATCCGATCTAAATTTTAAAATCCGATCCGATATTATTCAAATCGGATTCGGATTACATTTTGTAGAATCCGAATCCAAAATCCGAATCCGATCCATGCACAACCCTAAATACGATACATTATCAAACTAAACGTAACCATCCAAACAAGTTGTTAGTGGAGAGGAGAGGATGAGTTAGGGCCTTAGGGGTGTGGTATCATCAAAAAATCTCATATCTCAAGAAGACATGTCAGTGGTCCCCTATTATGTAAACCAAAACAAAACCTTTCCTTTACTCACCTTTTGAATCTTCCACATGACCTGCACCTCTGACTTGTCAAATTATATAGCCAACAAAAAAATTGAAAATTTTCATACTTACTGAATTTTCCGGAAATTTTGAATTATTTCATACTTACTGACTTGTCATAATGAAGTGCTAGACAACATTTTCATTAGTTCTTTTCTATACCTTTTTTTGAAGCCTTTCTCATCTAAAGTTAAATTTCTTATTTGTTCATCACATCACTAAGACTCAATTAAAGAAATATTACAGTGAAATGTTAGATCAAGGGAGCTTTTTAATGAATTAAAGCACATCATCTCTGTAGAAGCTTTTTATTATTATACACGTCAGCAAAGGTTTTCCAGCTCATTATGCCGATGTGGCATGAAGTGTACTTGTCAGGATGACCCCATAAAGGGGCAAATTAGTCAAAGTAATAATATTCTTTATTTTCTGCTAACATAGGGCCTAGCCGTAGCCGACATGTCAGCTCTAAAAATTGTCGGACTTGCCATATTTTCCACCAACAAAATGGGAGGCTCGCTGTCCCACCTGTCAACGGCTACGATTTCATCTCATACTCTATTCGATTCGATTCTGTTTGTAGATATGTTAAAAGTTGGAGTTAGATAAAATTATTAGAAAATGGAATTAGAAAAAGTTTTTTTTTTTTTTTTTTTTTTTTTTTTTTTTTTTTTTTTTTTTTTTTTTTTTTTTTTTTAATTTATAAATTGAGTTCTGGAAAACGAAATTAGGAAAAAGAAGATTTTTTCAAAAATGTGTTATGTTATGCTAAGAGTAGGTTTTTATTAATAACGAACTTTAATATATGAACTATAAATGAAATATTGAAATATTGATTTGAGTGTATATTTGAATTGAGATGTTGATTTTCACAAACAATTTTTTTTTTCCTAATATCGATTATTCTTCTTAAGTTCCAACTCGAAAATGTCAAATATTGTCCACAAAATATACAAAATTTTTTGATAACAAATTTGTGAAAGTATCCTTATGCTTAGACTTTTATTATCATTCTATTATTTGATGTTTCCACAGCTCTGATTTTGTTATTTAGCCTGTTATTGTTAACACTTATTTGCTCACCGCTATCGTATTTCCTTTAGACTGTTGTGTTTTTGTTCTCAACGGGCGAGGGTCTTTTAGAAATAATAGTTCCACATGCACAAGATAAGAGTAAGATTTACGTATACCATTGTCCTTTTCAAACTTCACTTGTTAGATTACACAGGGTATATTGTTAATATAAATTTGTGAAAGTAGAAAAAAGGATTCGTGAGTGTTGAAAATTTGAGAACACCTATGAATCGATATATTTGAGGTGCAGTTGAAAAGACAAGTTTATTTGAAGCTGAAAATAATAAAAAGTTTGTGAAAGTTTTTTTGTTTGGAAATCAAATTCATTAAATTCTATAGAGGTTTATTATTAAAATTTAAATATTTTACTTGAAATTGAATAGCTTGTCGAATGTAAGTTTGAAAACACACAAAAAAATATCGACTTATAAGGTAAATTTATCAAAGTGAAATAGGCCGGTCAAGTTTACAAGCTAAATGAGTGAAAAGAGCGAAGCGCATGCGCAAGAAACGGAGCACACGTGAGATAGCGTGTGGCAGTGAATAAAACTTTTACGTGCGCTTATATGAATTTCACTGATTGGGATGTGGTCAAACATCGTGGTCGTGGTACCAGTGGCTCGTGATAGACTCAGTCAATGAGCTTTTAAGTCTGGGTTAAGTTAGAACAATTTATCTGCTCCTTTTAGTGATTGTGTTTTGATTTATTTTATTTTTTTGGTCAACAAGTCTTACAAAAAAATATCTTTATGATTCTTGGAGTTGTTCTTTTTTTCTTTAAAAATATAGTATTAATTTTAGGAGGATATACATATCTTAAAAAATGGTTATAGCAACAACTCAAACAATTGGGAAAAATTCAAACCGTTTGTCCCTCGGCATCCTGGCAATTGGTCATCGATTGGCCGATTGTGAGAAAAAATTGATAAAATGCTTCAGCCTTTTCTCTTCTTTTAATGATGTTTTTGCTTTTTGAGTCAATTGTAACTCTTTGGATGCTGTAAGCTAAAAGTAATAAAGTAGGTCATTGTTTTGCATCTCTTTTTGATCCTATATAGGCCAATATATGTCGGATCAATCATGCTCTTCGTTCGATTATTGGAATTTGAAATATACGGTCAGTAGTAAATATAAATACTACTTCGTGATAATGCTAATTTCATTTGCTGCTTCAGCCATAAAAAAATAAAAAATAAAAATCATTTGCCCTATATTCATTATGTTTGTTCTCTTCGTCATAATAAAGAAACTGTTATAAAAATGAACAAAATGAATAACGTCATTAGGAAAATGTGACTAGGAGTCTAGAATAAAATGTGAGAATTTGGAGCTCACAGTCAGATAATGTTTTGTGTTCAAGGGAAGAGGGAAATAAAAAGGAAGTTGAACTTTTGTTTTATCCTTTTATCCCTCTTCTTTAGGCAAGATCCATGAAAGTAGGCAATTGGGGCTTTAAAGCAGACATCATTGTATCTTAGAGGACTAGTGAATTGATTGCAGACAAGCCGAAAAGCAATTAATTAGTACTAACTCCGTTCCGATTTATGTGAATCTATTTCTTTTTTGGTCCGTTCCAAAAAGAATGATCCCTTTCTAAATTTTGAAATAATTTTGCTTAAACTTACAATTCTATCCTTAATGAGAAGCTTTTATAATCACACAAATACTCTGACCCTTTTTTGAATTGTTAAGGACCACAAATTTCAAATTTTTTTATTTTTTCTTAAACTATGTATCCAATTAAACGGGTTCACATAAATTGAAACGGAAGGAGTATATAGTTAACACTAATGAGTGTCACCAAATCCTCTAATCTAGTACCAAGGCAAATCCCAAAAAAGAAATGAAAGAAAATGGATGCTATGCTAGTAAATAGGGGAGAGCCCCTTTATTTTTAATTTTGTGGTCCTGAATGGCATTTGAGATTTTGAAGAAAAATTCACTGTCAATAAAAAAACCCTGTTTTATAATTTAAGTAGGACCATTGGTACAGCAGCAACATCAATTATTGGTAAATAGAAATGCCATACAAAGCCTAAGATCTACTAGTGCAAGGAGCCTAGAAAGACAACGAAATCATGTTTTTCCCCCTAATTTGAACAAACATAATATTTTGATTTTTCCTCTAGTGAGGGGAAAAGCAATTTCCCCACGTTTTCTTGGAAATTATAGTAAGTGATGATTAAAGAATTTATTTATTGAAAAAGAAGAAAGAATCAAAGCATTGAGTTTTTGCAAGAAAAAAATCTCAAAAGTTGCGAAATAAAAATTGTACAGTATGATTGCTTAGGAAAGTCTCAAACTCTACTAAGAGAATTGGACAACACAACAATGGCTACATAGTTCTCTTTCTCCTTCTTCTTGAATTGGCTCAAAGCTCTTCCATTCACCTCCTGTTGCTGACGTGTCAAATGCATAGACCACCGATATAGTCATTGATGGATTATCAACCGTCCGATAACCAGCCAAGAAATACAAATGTGTCCCAACTGGGACCATTGTTAAGTATAGTCGATGAATTGGTTGTCCATTTTCTTCAAAGGGAAAAATACTCTTTTGTGAACCTTCAACCATATACCATATATTAAGTTTCCCATCATAAACCTCAATATGACCTTTCCATGCATTAAGACAATCCCCTGAGCTAAATAACTTACCATTTATCTCAACTATTTCATTAGCTGGCACATCCAATTGCCACATCCCTGCCACAAGGTCCCACTGTCCCCTTGACGTGTCATACATCTCAGCCGAACAACGGTCCACGTATTGCGAAAACCCTCCACCTTGTACAAATCCACCAACCACGTGGATTTTCCCTTGCCACGTCACACCTACACATTTGCATCTTGATCTATTCATATTTGGCAATTAAGTCCATTCATCAACTAAGGGATGATAAACTTCAGATAATGAAGTACCCCTAGCACTACCTAACGTTGATTGTCCTCCAGCTACATAAATCTTATTGTCCTTAACAACATATGCAAAATTATAACGTGGTACGTTAAGTGGTGCACATTTTGACCATTGGTTAGAATTAATGTCATAACGTAACACCGATGATAGTACGTTAATATCACTATCGAAAAATTCATCGCTTTCATATTGAGCATTTTGAGTTTTCTCTTTTCGACAAAGTCGACCACCTATAATATAAATTGAGTTTGAAATTGAAACCATAGCCAAGTCCTTGAGCACATGATTTTCGGGCAAATCGGGAATCGAAGTAACGTAACTCCAAGTGTTGTTAGAAGGATCATAACAAGCTATCCAGTTTGTAACAGTGGAATCATTCGTTACAATAGACGTTGAAGAAAATGAGGCAAAAATAGAGTACCTTGACGTGGAATTTTCCGGCGACTGTGGTGCTGGGAAAGAAAGAGAACCCATAAGTTTGAAAGGAAAAAACTAACTAGAAGATGATAACATTTGTAGTAATTAACTAAGGTTTTTATGTTCAAAGGATGAGACATACGTTCAACTTCATATATGTAAGATTTCAGTGATAGGACGGACAACACAATGAAATATTGTTTGTTAGCATCGCTTATAAGTATAGGCGTCCATTGTTTGCAATTGTATGTTATATAATCATGATTACTACTAGTTTTTACTGTTATAGAATTTATCTAAAATTTTGACTGTTTCTGATTGTTTTTTTTTTTATATTAATTACATGGCACAAGCCTAAGGCGGCTATCAGTAATTAAGAGATTATTTTTAATAAGATCAAGTATATGAAATCTAGGTTTTCTGGCAAATCTAGAAGAAGAAAATCTTGTGGTTTACATTGGTTATATATGCTTATGTAATCATGTATCAACAATGAGAAACATCAACCAATTGCTTCAGACGTAACCTTTTAATCTTGTCCTTCGTTTGAACTCTTTTGTGCCATATAGTATGTGCATTGGAATCTCTTTTTTGTTTCAAGAACATGAAAAATGCATGGCAAAGCTTTTTCCTAGGGAGGATATATACCATCACTCATTCTTGCGCTGGAAAAAATGTATTAAATCGCTAGCTAGGATTAGATGACTGAGATGATCAAGGCATGCTTGTCGCCCATTGTATTTTATATAATTATGCAATAAATCATGTACCAAAATTAAAGTATATGTGTTTACAAGATTTTACTTTTTTAGCATAATCAACCCCACAAGAAAATATATTTATTTTAGGTCTGGGAACTCCCACTATGAACTTTGGTGTGCATCCCACTCTGAAAAAGTTAGAAAAAGGTAAAAGAGAGCAAATCCAAATGAGATACTCTCCTTTTATGTACCAATAAATAAACAAATCAGACTGGAAATAGGATAATATATAGTAGCACTATTAGAGGGTGCAAATTACATCATGTGAGAATCTAGCAACACTGTAGTTGTCGAGCCAAGCATGAATTTAGTGACTTTACATATTAAACTACGCTTTGAGATTATCAAGAAAGAACTCCTATCTTTACTCGTACTAGGAGTAATATTGTTTTCCATTTCTTTATTTAATATTCAATGAGGATCTTTTTCATATCTTCTTTAGGCTTGCAGGCCTATTACTGATATAAACACAACTATTTTCGAGGAACAGAAGATTTCAATTACTATAAAACTTACCTAAGAAAATAAGGGATAATCATAATCTCCAAACTGGAAGAACCACAAAACAAATGTGAAAGCAGAAATCAGCCTTCAAGCAAAAATTTGAAACCCATGTGACAAGTTCTAAAGTTTACACAACCTTAATTTCTTCTTGTAGATCTCCATATCTCGAATAATCCGGGGAATTTAGTCACTTTCTTCACATATTTACAAATAAATAAAATGATTAAACCATTTGTCTCGTAATTTTTAACCAAATATTATGATATATGGAAGCATCTATGAAAGGAAGGGAAGGGACAAGAGTGAGTTGCTCTAGTAGTAAGCACCCTCCATTTCCAACCAAGAGGTTGTGAGTTCGAGTCACCCCAAGAGCAAGGTAGGGATTTCTTGGAGGGAGGAAACCGAGTTTCTATCGGAAAAAGCCTTTCTACCTCAGGGTAGGGGTAAGATCTGCATACAAATTACCCTCCTCAGACTCCACTAGTGAGATTATACTGGGTTGTTATTGTTGTATTGTTATCTATGAAAGGAAGGTAGTGACAATTTTTAGATGTTTGTAACTCGTAAAAATTGTAAAACGGTTTTTCTGGAACTAAATTACATGCACAATTACCTTGCAAAACCAAACCTAAAACCAATCCATAAAAATCCAAGCCCAAATTAGAGCCGGACTCTATCCAAAAATCTGAAAACAACAATCGAGATAATAGTGTTAGTGGGCTGAAATAATCTAATTGGACCCATAAACTATTCGTTTTGGGCTTATTTGGGCTACTATTCAAGAGTAAAATGCTAAACTGGGCAAAGGAAGACTCAACCTTCCTCATATGTTACTCCAAAAAATGGTTCTTGTATTACTCAATCAAAATTTGTTTAACAAGTAGACAATCACAATTGAAAAAGCAAAGAGGGAAAAGAAAGATATGTAAGAGTTACAACACCTCCATTAAGCTAGATTTCATTGACAACTTCAGTGCTGTTATGAAAATAATTATATTATGGATGTCCATTTATTACTCCGCTATATATAATATTTCTGAACAAGATTATCCATTTAGTACTCTGTTGAAGTTTATCTACAAGCAGCTGATGCAGGCAGGTTGCAAGCAACTCAATGAAATAATTTGCAACAGCTTCTTATTAAACAAGCAGGTTGCAAACAACTGATGTAGACAACTTACAAGCAGCTAAAGAAAAGGCTTGCAGCTGCTTCCTTTCTTCTATAAATAGAGGAGTTTTCAGTTCATTATGTACATGAGTTTGAAGTTGAATAATATATCAATCTCTCTCTATACTTGTCTTCAGTTTATTTACTTTACAGTTTTTATTTTATAATACATTATCAGTACGAGACTCTGCCATCTCGAGCAAATACTTTGAAAGTATCACAGGTACGAACTTTTTTTTTCTAAATAATGTCAAATCTTTCTAAACTTGAATTTGTAGCCCTGGATATATCGGGCAAAAGCTACATATCTTGGGTACTTGATGCCAAAATTCATCTTGATGCGATGGGTCTGGCAGACACCATCAAGGTCAAAAATCAGGCATCAAACCAAGACCGTGCCAAAACAATGATATTCCTATGCCATCACCTTTATGAGGGCCTAAAAATGGAGTATCTTAATGTTAAAGATCCAGTCATACTGTGGGATAATTTGAAAGATAGATATGACCACCTGAAGATGGTCGTTCTTCCACATGCACAATATTATTGGACTCATTTAAGGCTACAAGATTTTAAATCTATCAGTGAATATAATTCTGTTATGTTCAGAATTATTTCCCAATTAAAATTATGTGGTGATAATATTACTGATCATGATAGTTTGGAGAAAACTTTCACCACTTTTCATGCCTCGAACATGCTCCTGCAGCAGCAATATCGAGAGATGGGATTCAAAAAGTATTCTGAGCTTATCTCACATTTTCTTTTAGCCGAGCAACATAATTGGCTATTAATGAAAAACCATGAAAGTTGACCTACTGGTTCTTGTCCATTCCCTGAAGTGAATGAGACGAACTTCCACCAAGCTAAGCGTGGAAGAGGACGTGGCCCCAGTCGTAGTCATGGCCGTGGTCGGGGAAGAAACACTAATCATGGTAATAATAATGCACCAAATAACCATCCTCACCACCAGCAGTGGAAAAGGAAGGAACAAAAGCATGAAGTGGTGCAAGCAGCAAACGCAGAAAATGCATGCTATAGACGTGGAGGAAAAGGGCACTGGTCACGTACATGTCGTACGCCAAAGCATCTGGTTGAGTTGTATCAAGCCTCCCTGAAGAAGACTGAGAAAACTGGTGAAGCAAATTTTATTTCTGAAGATAATTTAGACTTCATGCATTTGGATGTAGCTGATTACTTTGCACTCCCGGAAGGAGAAACAAGTCATGTGATCGGTGATGAATCTGTAGAGATGTAAATATTTTAATTTTAATTTTTTGTAGTAGATGGTATGGTTATGTAATAGTTGTATATAAATAAAAGTTATGCTTTGATAATAATATTTACTATCATATTTATTTTGTTTATGTCATTTTGAAGAATATGGATAATCCTCAAATTATGCTTGGATCAAAGACCAATCAAGAAGATATTTGTGTAATTGATAGTGGAACAACTCATACCATATTCAAAGATCAGAAATACTTTTCTTATTTGTATAAGGAAAAAGCAAATGTTTCTACAATTTCTGATAATATAAGTTTGATTGAAGGCTCCGGAAGAGCTATTGTATTTCTGTCTAAGGGAACAAAACTTATTATAAATAATGCATTATTCTCCTCCAAGTCCCGAAGAAACTTGTTGAATTTTATGGAATATCTTTGTATTACAAAGAATGTTTCTGGCCAGAAGTGCATTGTAGAAAAGTTACCAACTTTATCTTCTGGCTTATACTATTCAAAGATTAGTACAGTTGAAGCACATTCTATCGTAAACTGGAAGTTTACTGATTCAAATACTTTTGTGCTTTGGCATGGCCATTTGGGTCATCCTGGATCAATAATGATGAGACGGATTATTGAAAATTCGAGTGGGCATCCATTAAAGAACCTGAAGGTTCTTACAAATGATGAATTTTCTTGTGATGCTTGTTATCAAGGCAAAATGATCACTAGACCATCACCAATGAAGGTTGGCATTGAGTTCCCTGCCTTTTTAGAGCGTATACATGAGGATATATGTGGACTTATTTACCCACCAAGTGGGTTGTTCAGATATTTTATGGTCTTAATAGATGCATCTTCAAGATGGTCTCATGTGTGCCTACTATCATCTCGCAACCTGGCGTTTGCAAAGTTATTAGCCCAAATAATTCGATTAAGGGAACAATTCCCAGATTATCCTATAAAGGCTATTCGCCTTGATAATGCTGGAGAATTCTCATCTTAAGCTTTTGATGATTACTGTCTATCAGTTGGGATAAACGTTGAACACCCTGTAGCTTATGTTCATACTCAAAATGACCTTGCAAAGTCATTTATTAAACACTTGCAGTTGATAGCAAGGCCACTACTTATGAAAACAAAAATTACCCACTACTGTTTGGGGCCATGCTATCTTGCACGCAACATCACTTATTTGTCTCAGACCGGCATATTATAATAAATATTTTCCGTCACAATTAGTTTTTGGTCATGAACCAAATATTGCCCATCTACGAATTTTTGGATGTGTTGTATATGTGCCAGTAGCACCACCACAACGCAGTAAGATGGGCCCGCAGAGAAGTTTAGGAATATATGTTGGGTTTGAATCACCCTCTATTATTCGCTATCTTGAACCATTGACGGAAAATTTATTTACTGCTCGATTTTCAAATTGTCGATTTGATGAAATAAATTTCCCACAATTAGGGGGAGAGAAAAAGGAAATCAAAAGAGAAATTGTGTGGAAAGTTTTATCATTATCTCACTTTGATCCACTTACCCCTATATGTAATCAGGAGGTCCAGAAGATCATCCATTTACAGAATATAGCAAATCAAATGCCAGACGCATTTACTGATTTAAAAATGATAAATAAGTCACATATCCCTGTAGAGAATGTACCTATCCGAATTGATGTCTCAGCAAGACCATCTACTAGCATGAGAGCTAGTGAACCTAAAGCACGCCTGAAGCGTGGTAGGCCTTTGGGTTCTAAATGATATTATGAAGGGATCTCCTGAAGAGACCCAAGATCTAATTAGTTCTAAGATTCCTGAAGAAATCAATGAACCCGAGACTCAAGTGAGTGAGGAACTTTTAATAAGTTCTACTGGTGATAGGATTAATTTTAATCGATCTGAAATAGTGGTGGATAATATTTTTGCATATAATGTTGCACTTAACATTATGCAAGATAGTGAGAATCTTGAAACCGGATATGTCGAAGAATGTCGACAAAGATCTGATTGGCCAAAATGGCAAGAGTCAATTCAATCGGAATTGAAGTCACTTGCTAAAAGAGAGGTCTTTGGACCAGTAGTCCAAACACTTGCTGGTATAAAGCCAGTCGGTCATAAATGGGTTTTTGTGCGAAAAAGAAATGATAAAAATAAAGTTGAAAGATACAAGGCTCGCCTTGTTGCATAAGGATTTTCACAACGACCTGGAGTCGATTATGAAGAAACATATTCACTCGTTATGAATGCCATAACATTTCGATATCTCATTAGTTTAGCCTTACATGAAAGGCTTGAAATACATCTAATGGATGTGGTTACAGCTTATCTATACGGGTCACTTGATAATAAAATTTACATGAAAATCCCTGAAGGATTTAAAATGCCTGAAGCAAAATCTCAGGAAATGTATTCAATCAGATTACAAAGATCTTTGTACGGTTTAAAGCAATCTGGGCGCATGTGGTATAATCACCTCAGTGAATATTTGCTGAAAGAGGGTTACATAAATGATGTTATTTTTTCATGTATTTATATAAAGAAAATGGCTTCAGAATTTGTTATACTTGCTGTTTATGTTGATGACATAAATCTTATTGGAACTCCAGAAGATCTCCAAAAGACAATTGAATATCTTAAGAAATAATTTGAGATGAAAGATCTTGGAAAGACAAAACTTTGTCTTGGTCTGCAAATTGAACATTTAGCAGACGGGATCTTTATCCATCAATCTGCCTATATAGAAAGGGTCTTAAAACGCTTTTACATGGACAAAGCGCACCCATTGAGTACACCACTTGAAGGGAATAAAGATTTGTTCCGACCTCCAGAAGAGGATGAGGAACTCCTTGGTCCCGAAGTACCCTATCTCAGTGCAATTGGTGCACTAATGTATCTTGCTAATACTACAAGGCCTGACATAGCATTTTCTGTTAATTTACTAGCAAGATATAGTTCTTCTCCTACAGGGATACATTGGAACGGGATTAAGCATATATTGCGATATTTAAAGGGAACTCTTGATATGGGTTTGTTTTATGCTAACAAAGATAGTGCAGACCTTGTTGGTTATGCAGATGCAGGTTATTTATTTGATCCCCATAAAGCTCGATCTCAAACCGGCTACGTATTTACATATGGAGGTACTATCATATCATGGCGCTCCACAAAGCAATCTATTGTTGCTACTTCTTCAAATCACGCTGAGATAATAGCTATTCATGAAGCAAGTAGGGAATGCGTATGGTTGAGATCAATAATTCATTTTATTCGAGAAAAATGTGGTTTGGAATGTGAGAAAAGACCCACAATTTTATACGAAGACAATGCTGCATGCATAGCCCAATTGAAGGGAGGATTTATAAAAGGAGATAGAACGAAGCACATTTCACCAAAATTATTCTACACACACGATCTTCAGAAAAATGGTGACATTGATGTGCAACAAATCCGTTCAAGTGACAATCCAGCAGATTTATTCACTAAATCTTTGCCAACTTCAACTTTTGAGAAGGTGGTATACAAGATTGGAATGCAGAGACTCAAATATTTGAAACAAGAGTTTTATCAGGAGGAGTAAAATACGCGATGTACTCTTTTTTCCTTACTAAAGCTTTTTCCCACAGGATTTTCCTTATAAGGTTTTTAATGAGACAACTAGAAATGCGTATTACTAAATATGTATACTCTTTTTCCTTCACTAGGATTTTTCCCACTGGGTTTTTTCTAGTAAGGTTTTAACGAGGAACAATACCTTTTAATGAACATCCAAGGAGGAGTGTTATGAAAATAATTATATTGTGGATGTCCATTTATTACTCCGCTATAGATAATCTTCCTGAAGAATATTATCCATTTAGTACTCTGTTGAAGTTTATCTACAAGCAGCTGATGCAGGCAGGTTGCAAGCAGCTCAATGAAATGATTTGCAGCAACTTCTTATTAAACAGGCAGGTTGCAAGCAACTCATGCAGACAGCTTACAAGCAGCTAAAGAAAAACCTTGCAGATGCTTCCTGAAAAGCCTCGCAGCTGCTTCCTTTCTTCTATAAATAGAGGATTTTTCAGTTCATTATGTACATGAGTTTGAAGTTGAATAATATATCAATCTCCCTCTATACTTGTCTTAAGTTTATTTACTTTACAGTCTTTATTTTATAACAAGTGCTACATTTGGCCTATTTATCTTCTATGATTAAGGCAGCAATAGCTTCAAAATTTTAAACAACTTTTTAATTTTTTGAAAAGAGAAATATTTTCTCAACCAAACTACTGAAAAACTTTTCCTTTTTGGCGTTTCATTGAAAAGCATTTCTTTCTTTTTTTGTTGCAAAAATACGTAAACATAAAAAATTGAGATACTTTTTATTTAATTTTATTTATTTTTGCAAAAGCTCTTCTTTGAAATTTGAAGAAAATGCCACCTGAAAAACAGCGGACGCAAGTGGAACTAAATAAGGTACATGTACCACCAAATTCACAAGTTCTGAAAAGTCACACAAATTCCAGTTTCCACACAACACTAATGAAAAGCACAAATGGATTCATGTTTGTGTAACCATGATGTGGGAGGGTCCAACTCGGCCTGTGTACATAGAGTAAATAACTGCACATCCTGCTGCCAATCTAACATATGCCTAAGCAACAATAAAAATTAAAATAAAACTGAATCTACCAGCAACAAGTGGTTTAAAGAAAAAGAGTACAAGGTCTTCTTGCCTTTGATCATCTTTCAGACAGCAGGATTTTCAAGTGACGCCGTAGAAAGATTGGTTATGCGAGGATATACTGCTTTTTCATCAAGCTGGTTCTGTGCCCATATCAACATTTTCAATAGGCTTGGAAGCTTTGGATCTGTTGTTTTAATCAAGATGAATCATAAAAAGAGCATTTAATGTCAAGAGCATCTTTAAGTAAATGTTCAAATTAAGCTATAACAATAATTAGCGCTCTCCCTTACAGAACTGTGTGGAGACCTATATCAACAGTGATTTTTATTGGAAATGGGACTAACCTTTTTCATGACTTTGGCTGGTGAGAATTGCCGCATTTACCTCACTTGCGGTCTTTAGACGCTGTGATACATCTAGAAGCGCTCCAACTGGGCAGTTAGAAACATCTTCAAAAGCCAGTAATGCAACAGTCTTCTCCAGTTCTTCTAAGAAGGCTTGCTGTAGAGTTATTGAAATTTAGTTAAATAGCAAAACCATGGAAACACTCCCCAGTTAATAGGTTTTAATGTCCAGTATATATGAAGTTCAGCCAGATAAGATTTGAGATGTAGATGTTATATGAAATTAAACAGTGAGTTAGATTGAACACTTGCTTTTCTTCTTCGATAATATAGATCGAGTGAAGATGTATGTAGCCTTGGAAAAAAGAAACTTACAGAAATTACAAAAATAGTATTCTAAAGATGAATAGTTACATTTTCTTCTCCCCTTGGAGCCAGTTCCTCTTGAGCGAACTCCAGAGCTTCTTCGACCTTTCCATTCCTTATCAACTCTATCAGCCTTTGCTGTTGGAGATGGAAAAAGAGTTGTGGATTTGTATCTAATATCTGCATTCAAGAAGGTAAACATAAGATACAATCAACTCAAACTATCTAAAAATCAGCGCTTATTGCGACGTAGCTTCTAAGAATCAAGATTTTCTAGAGTGTTAAGCACAAGTTAGAAGATTATCTCTTAAATTTGAGAGAAAAAAAGAAAAAAAGAATGAGGGCCTGGAACCCATTGCCATGCATAATAGCACAGGTTAGAAGATTCATCCAAGTAAGAAAATAGATCATGGTCTTTTTTGGTCTCATCTAAGACAACAAATTATAAACTCGTTTCCATGTCATCAACCACCCCGAAGTTTGGATGCAAACATTTTATATATATAAATAGGGAGGGTTCAAATCAGAGGTGGATCCAGAACTTAAACTCTATGGGTTCTTAGTATTGAACTCAATATATACTGAAAGTTATGGGTTCATATTCACAATTTATTTCAATTTCAGTGAATTTTTGCATATAAACTTGTACTCCGCGTCAAAAGTCAGATTAGAAAATCATTACAAAATCAGATTAGAAAATCATATATGACTACATCCGTCTCTGGTTCAAATGATCAAAGTCAGATTAGAAAATCATTTTGTGCAGTTTGCATCAGGATCTTCCGTCCTAAATTTTGTATTCCTTCAGCTCTATCCAGAAAATATTTCTTTAATCCGGAAGAGGCACAAGCTAGAGATAAAGTAGAAAAAGCAAAAAAAGAAAAAGTCAAGGATAGCACAACGATAGAGCAAACTTCAAACAAGCATATGTTTGCTGGAGTCAAACTAACAAGATCCAAGAGTGAGCATCAAATGCCTTAATTGCTTGAGCTTCTACCTTAGCATACTAAACAAAGATGCAGTGCCTATGTGTTTTCTTATATTCTTAAGGATTTAACTGCAAATTTATCAAAGTTGCATTAAAACCACAAATCTTCCAGATGAAGAATTTTCTGACACAATATCGACCTCAGGGGGAAGAACTCTCCATTCCGTGCTATCTGCTTATATTAAAGAGCTTCTCTGTGGTCATTTCAAACAAAGACAATTTATTGTCCCCTCAGTTATATGTTCATACAAAAGCTTGCTCGAGCAGAATCATGATAAGAAGACTCTTAAGATCCATAACCAAGCAAAAAATTCTGTGACTAAAAATTCTCCTTGGAGTTTATGAAGAACTTCAGACAGAATTCAAGCTCATAAGAAGGTGATGCGACAGCTTTGTTTGGAAGTCTATAACAAGGGCCAAGCTACCACAGAATAGAAGACAGGTTAAGAAAAATGATTAATAGAGTCCACTTACTGTTTGCACTAACTGATGGCATGTGCCAGCAACAAAGGTTACAAACTTTTCTAAGGAGTTAACGGTTCCACTGGGAAGTGAGAAACAAGGACCTCTTTTTAACTTCTGGACAGAAACATAAGTTAACAAGGACAAACACAAAGGAAAAGGCAAATTTAAATCATAAGAACTATGAAGCCTGTTGTTCCCAAGGAGATGACCAAATGATTGATGCATGGTGTCAGTCTAGGTGGATTCGTCAAGGTGCACGCAAGAACCAGACAAAACCCATGTCCGGGGAAAAGGAGAGGGGAAAAAAAGGCAAAGAGGAACTACGATAAGTGCTTGATCACATCCACTCCATGATTTAACTAATTGAATGTCAAGTTACCGAATTAGAACAAGACTTATACCTAGTGCAAATTCATTTCCCCTCTTCTACTCATTGATGAACAAATAGTTGACAGTAAAATTGAAAACACAAATGGACATTTGTCTACAGTGGCATCGAGACTCATAAATTGGATGTGCCTAATTGTAATCTTATTCTTTTGTTGAGTCACAGGACAAAAGTGCCCTCCGCAGCTGATGCACTTTAATAATTCCTTATCATCTTCTGTTCTATTGAATTCCCTGTTTGCTGCCATTCTCTTGGAATTTCACTCTTAACACATACAGTGAACGGATCACCCGTCTATCTCTCAGAGACACACACAGCAACATGGAAGCTTTACTATGTTTTACATAAAGAATGGATCAGCATACATAATAAGAATCAAAAAGGAAACACATGCAACCCACGAGAAACTTTAAAAAATTTCCACTAAATAGCAATTGTGTTTATAATGTGAGATGCCACGCTAGTCACATGTTCATTTTAATCAGCAGATTAATAAATGTAAAGAAATGCATTAGAAGCAGAAAGAGTAAAGGAGCAGGCATACCTCAGGATTCAAATCATTAACCTTCTCAATTGCATCCTCCACATTACCAGCCTGCACAGCCTTTTTAACAGCCATCCGGTCGGTGATGGTAGCAAGATCTATATCAGCTAATAACTCATAAGGAGAAACAAATGTTAAACGCACGCAAATAATAACTTAAATGCTGGAATAAAACATAACATGAACATCCAGAAGATGACACAAGGATACGATCCGTCCCAGATTCCATTTTGAACTTTTCTGCAGCTTCTACATAACCCTCTGTAACTAGAAAATTCATTACCAATCTATTCATATCCTCTTTTCTAATCTTTACATCATTGAGCCTTTTCTCCCAATCTTCTCTGGTGATTACTTTCTTTGACGTGGCCTGCAAAATGAAGAAAAGAAGGAAAAAGATAAAATAAATAGATTTCCTCACCTCTTAACAGAACCAAGTTCAACAACAACAAAATTTGATCTAAATAATGATGAGGATAATTCATTAACAAGTTAAACCATATGCAGCATCCTACTATACCATAAGCAAATACAATAACTAAAAAATAAAAACAATAATAATACGCGGTTAAAACAGCAAATGACTCCAATACAAAACTCAACATAGTAGAACCTTATTACTACTTTACCAGATTCACACATTCAAAATTGGGGAAAGGTAAAATAATTTCTAGAACGAAAATTCGAAATTCGAGAAAAAATTAATAGATGAAAAGAATTACCATCGCTTCTTCAAAATAAGCTAATTGGCGAATGACAATCCAGAACAATGACATCAGTTTTCAACAATGCACCTTCATGCCCATATAAACACTTCACCTTGATATGAATTGGGGAAGAACTGAATTGGAGGCTCACTCAAATTACCAGAAATACCCTCTATTAGAACAAAAAAGAATGAAGAAATTACTAGGGGCAATAATGTTATCTTACATTATTATTGACTAAACAATAGATTTTGAATAATTTAATCAATATGAATATTTATAAGTTGTGAAAATATTGTAGAAATAAATTGTGTAAGATATTATGGAACATTTCGGAAAAAAAAAAAAAAAGAACTTCAGAGTTTAAATCGCATTAGAGGATCTATCTACTAAGGCTGTGACCTAACCGTCAAAAAGAAAATATAATAAAAATTAAAAAGATCAAAATTTAAATCTCTTATAGACAACATTACGTGAATCTGGAACTCATGGAAATACAAATGAAATAAACTCTTTGTTAAGCTTTTTTTTCTAAATATAATATTTTATTACATAGGAAATTATTCATGTTTACCCTCAAAATTGTATAACAATTGAATTTGTACGTGATTTTAAGGATACATGATCTAATTTGATACAAAACTAGAAATCAAATTAATGTTGAAATAAGCAATGAAAAAATAAATGCAAACCACGCAAGTTGAACAATCTTAGCCTTGAATGTTAGTCACGCTCGAGTCAGAAATGCTTTTTTCGGTGCCGGAACAGAATGACAAGATAATGAGAACTAGAAATAATAATATATTCCTTTGTGATGCGTGTTACAGTGTTTTGAATGAATTATCAAACCCCTTTTATATACTAGAGGAGTCCTATTCTAGGTACATTTCTATAAAAGGAAAAAATCTCTTGATTTGCTAATTGCCAGTTCCTTATTGATATGTGCAGAGATTCTCGCCGTAATATCCGTCCGGTTGCGGATATTTCGGTCTTATGTTAGTTACCCTCGAGCTCGTTCGAAACTAAGGTCGACACCACACTCAGTTTTCCTCGAAGGTAAGTTTTCCGACCTCGGGTTCTAGCTCGGTGAAACTCGAGGTCGATCCTCAGTCCGTGGTCTCCATGTTCCAAACCTAATATACCAAGTTGAATTCGAGCTCGACTTCAACCGTATATAGATAGTCCCCTCGTTTTTCGGAGAATAATCGACGAGAAACGATATGAGTCTCTGATATCTCTCCTCGATGTTCCTCGTCAGAAACGACAAATTGAACGAAACGTCTCGTCAGTCACATCTTCATGGCATTAAATGCTCGTCAACCGCTGGTCGGCCACTTACGGCTTTGAACCGTCATTTGGAAACTATAAATGTCCCCTTCTTCATTCATTCAAACTTTTTACATCCAAATCTTCTCTACTCTTGTTTCTTAGAAATTTCAACACTTTTCCAGTATTAAATCTTTGGCTATTCTGAAATCTTTTCACAAGAACTTCAGAATTGTTTTTACCATCAAACTTAATCTTTAAATTTCCTCTCTTTCCTTCACCTATCAAAGAAATGGCGAAGACTTCAAAGTCCGTTCCCCAAAAAGAAACTCCCTCTGCCTCGCGACCGATTGTAGAGGAAAACGTTTCATCTGCTGCTACTGAGGAACCGACACCGGAACCTCTTCTGAAAATGTTCGTTCCTACGGGGTGCCCAACCGGTGCCGATTTCAAGGTCGAGAAAACTTCCTCGGTACCGGGTCGGTGTGAACCGGTCTCCAGATATATATGCTCGGTCACCGACAACTTACTCTCCAAGGTCAAGGAAGACTGCAACTAGGCTGATAAGTACGTGGTGGTTCCTTCGTCCGAGGAAGCGATTACTACCCATGTGAAGTTTTTTTTTAAGTGTTTACACTTATCCCTTCACATCGGGCCCCTTGGATCCGATCAATGTCGCCTTCTGTAAGAGGTACGAGGTGACCCTAGGTCAAATTCATCCTTCTTTCTGGAGGATAGTAATTCTTCTTGGCTTCTTCGTAAACAAAATCGAAAGGTGTCCTTTCACCATCAATCATCTCATGCGTCAGTACAGCCTCCGACTCTATCGAAGGGGACTAATAAAACTTGCCCGTCGGGCTAGTAAGGCTCCATTCTCGAGCATCGACGAGGATCGGGACTGAAGCTGGTTAGGTCGATTTGTTCGAGTGAAGACCTGGATTTAATCTCGGCTGAGGATATGCCATTTCCCGAGAAATGGAACATGAAACGTAAGTATAACCATGCCTTCAAGATTTCATTTATCTTTTTCTTCCTTTCTCACCGATTTTTCGTGGTGGTGCAACTGTCGCTCGGATTTCGGATGCAGTTCCTCGACTCAAGGATTGGGTCGAAGGCATCGTGTCCCAGAAACCATATTCCGAGCGCTCGTGGCGCGAACTTTCAAAGGGCCGGTGGGAGGTCCGTTCTCACGATAAGATTCCGCTCTCGACTGAACAACACTTATGTCTCCGTGCTGCCGAGCCTTTACTTCTTTTTCTTTTCTTTGCAGGTCTTTCTAAGGACGTTGCAATGAGGGCCCCATCTGGTGATGAAGATATCCTCCCTGAACCATCTGTTTGAGGCAGGATAAAGAGAAGAAAAGAAAACGAGCTTCGAGAAGAAAAAATCGAGGAGGAGGCTGGTGCGCAAATCCACCGAAAGTATCAGCTCCCGAGAGCTACCATCAAACTCACTCAATCAGTTAAGGGATAAGTCCGAAGAAGAAGAAGCTTCTGAAGTGGTGGCCCATGTGCGGCCGCAGTTCGAGGGACGAAAGGGCCCTGAATTAGAGAGGGGCAGCACCGAATCACCCCGAACTAGGGGGCCGGTGGAGAGGCAGTGGCCGAAGCCTCAGAACCCGATGGAGGCGAGGTCGTTTTGCCTCAAGTTTGGGAGATCGATAAGGAGGCCGCGACCGATGTTTCTCAGGCAGATGGCAATGCCTCGAAGGATGCACTTAGTGTGATAGATCTCTCTGAGTCAGCTACGTTTACCGACTCTATGATCAACGAGGCCCAAACGCTGAAAAGTCACCTTGGCGAAGGGCCCCAAGGGGTAGCAGACTTTAACAACTTCTTTGATGGCTTAGATTCTACCACCTCGGAGGACGTCACCGAGTTGGGCGACTTATCGATACCAAAGAAGAGACCATCTTCGGGAGCCAGCGAGCCTTCTACAAGTCCGAGACTAGTAAATCGGTTCCCAGCTCTGAGTGCAGATCCTGACCAGAAGTGGTCGATTATCATGTCCATTCCGGAGGATGCTCGGATTCTCTTTACCCCCGTAGGGGGTTGCCAGTTATCTTCGGTGCCTGGTGACTGAAGAGGATAAAGCTAAGATGGACGAGGTGGAAGCGCCCTGCCTTTTCAACGAAGCACAACATGCATTAAATCTGGTAAATTTGAACGCCTCTTTACTACGTACTTAGGTTAATTTGCAAACAACCGTAACTCTTTTCTTTGTGCTTGCATTCCTCGGTGCTTCATCACGAGACTTTTCTCCGATATAGATAAGAGTTAAACCATCATGAGACCGAGACTCGGGATCTTACTGAGAAGGGGGATGCTTATAAGCTTCTCAATGAGAAAATCCAGGCTGAGCTAGAAGAAGCTCAGAAGGAGCATGCCGACCTGGTCGAGCAGGTAAGAAGAGTATTTGAAGTTAGTGATGATGAGTCAGACACATTGGCTAACGATCCGAACCTGCAGGTTCAAAAGAAACTTGACCACATCGAGCAGGTCCAGGCGGAGGTGGATACGGTGAAAGCTGAGGCCGAAGAATGGAAAAGAAATATGGACCACCTGGCCTCGAAAAAGGAGACTGCTCGGGCACAATTGGTTCGACTGAGGTCCAGCTCTGGGATGCAAAGTAAAAGGCCTTGGTACATGCAAAAAAGATTGAGGAGCTCCAGACTCAGCTGAGCTCGACGGTCTCGATCAAGAAAATTTGGCTAAGGAACTTGAGGCAGCCAAGTCTGAGGTTGCCGTGGTTAAGGCCGAGGCCGATGAGAGGGTAGCCCAACACAAGGCTGATGCCGAGGCGGCTCAGGACCAAGTGAGAAATATGGTGGAGCATATGAAGTGGCAATCCCGAAGGGAGGCCCTTGGGGGAGTTCATGCTCGGGGTTTTGACCTATTGGCTGAAATCGAGAATGCCAAGGTATTCGAAGCCAAGGCCAGGAAGCTGGATTTCCCTGAGGAGGAAGATTCCGAGTGGTCTGAAGATTTGGGTTAGTCCGAAGGTGACGGAGACCCCGAAGGCGATGATGCGGCCATCGGCAAAGACTAGGCCACTTGGGATGTTTTTGTCTTTTGCTTTTTGAGGCCGTTTGGCCGTTGTAAAATTTTGTATCGGGGTTATTTGGCCCTTGTAAAAAGAATTTTGGATATGAATATATAAGGCTTTCTTTCCTTTCACAACTTTTGAATTTTTTCCTTTGCTTTATTATTTGTATTAACAAAGATCGAAATGCCTTAGCATGAAATAGTTAGGTTATGTTCGAAGGTTCAAACAAAACTTGCCTTTACATTATTATGTTTTAAGGCATCCTGGGAGTTCGGTGTTATCGAAAACTTTCTCCCGAAGTAAGCAATTTAGATTATAGTCTGCTGAGGGTAGCCTTTAGAATCGGTTATGAATTTTTTTTAAAGGCTTTGTTTTTGTCACGGGTCTCGGACGTCTCCGAGCCGTGTTAATATAGCCGTAGACTTTTTAGTTTGGGTGTCGCCCTGTGGGCTTGCTTTGCCGAGTTATCCGGGCTTGCCTAAGATAACAATCCTTGAGTGGGGGTGGCTGTGGCCTTTGAAATTCGGGGTTGCATTATAGGTCTTATGCTCCCGAGGTCAAATAGCTTGGATCGTTCGAGTTTATTTTCGGAAGGCAGTCCCCGAGTGATTGTTTGAGCTCGGCTTAAGACGGCCCTTGGGCTCGAAACCTTTAGGGGATCGAAAGTAGGGAATTCCTTAAGAAATGCAAAGAAAATTTTTAAAGGACAAGATGTTTGCAAAGAAAAGACTTCTCTTTATTCTTGTGTATAATAGTAATACATGTGTATATGCTTTGTGTCAGGGTTCGAGCAGTCTATGTGGGCACGGTGCATTTGACCGTCTGGCCCTTAT